AAAGATAGACCAAAAACAACTGGAGAATGTGAAATGTTTTAAATATTTGGGTAGCTTGTTAACAGATGATGGAAGGTGTACTAGTGAAATTAAATCCAGGATTGCCATGGCAAAAGCTGCATTTAGCAAGAAGAAGAATCTTTTTACCAGCAAATTGGACTTAAATTTGAGGAAGAAACTAGTGAAATGCTACATTTGGAGCATAGCTCTGTATGGGGCTGAAACATGGACACTTAGGGCAGTAGATCAGAAACATCTGGAAAGTTTCGAAATGTGGTGTTGGAGAAGGATGGAGAAGATCAGTTGGACCGATTATGTGAGAAATGAAGAAGTGTTAATTAGAGTCAGTGAGCAGAGGAATATCCTACATGAAATAAGAAAACGGAAGGCTAATTGGATTGGTCATGTTTTATGCAGAAACTGCCTTCTAAAAGAAGTTATCGAAGGAAAGATAGAGGGGCGGATAGAAGTGACAAGAAGCCGAGGAAGAAGACGTAAGAAGATGCTGGATGACCTTGGGGACAGAAGAGGATACTGTCATTTGAAGGAGAAAGCTCTAGATCGCATTAAATGGAGGAATTGTTTTGGAAGAGACTGTGGACCTGTCGTCTTGACAGATTACTGATGATGATGATGATGATAATCCTTCCAGCCGCACTATGGCCCTGGGGGGAGGGGTAAAGGGCTGCCGGCATATAAGGCTGACAACCTTAGTGCCATCTGTGAGCCGACTGTCTAGAGAAAAATTGGGAGCCTCGACGCCTCACGACCTTATGGGAATTCACGGCCTGTTACAGGGCTACCCATTCACTTATGGAGCTGAACCCTTCTTGAGAAGCTGCCAATTGTGCAGCCACTCAAGAACTTCCCAGCGTTTTACTGAACGTGAAAGTTCATTACAGTGCTCACAATAGCCCTCCACTGGTCCCTATTCTGAGCCAGATCAATCCAATCTATACCATCCGATCCCATCTCTCTAAAATTCATTTTAATATTGTCCGCCAATCTATGTCTTTGTCTTAGCAATGGTCTCCTTCCATCCGGATTTCCCACCAATATCCTATATGCATTTCTCTTCTCTTCCATTCGTGCTACATGCCCTGCCATCTCATCCTCTTTGTCTTGATCATTCTAATTATACTTGGAGAAGCGTACAAGTTATGAAGCTCCTCCTTATGCAGTTTTCTCCAACCTCCTGTCACTTCATCCCTCACAAATATTCTCCTCAACACCCTGTTCTCAAACATCCTCAGTCTATGTTCCTCCCATAAAGTCAGAGACCAAGTTTCACACCCATTGAGAACCATAGGCAATATAATAGTTTTTTATACTGTATTCTAATTTTTATATTTTTGGACAGCAGACAAGAAGACAAAAGGTTCTGAACTGAATGGTAGCAAGCATTACCCAAGTTCAATCTCCTCTTAATTTTCCTCCTGAATCAGGTTTCGATCTGTTATCGATGATCATCCTTGACTTGATCAATCTAATTATATTTGGTGAAAGGATAGTAAGGTAAAGCTGTCCCTACGCTTAACCAATCAAGCATTACGCCATGAAGGCGTATGGGGGAGTGGATATATAGATCCACATTTTCTTGACCTCAGCACTATTTGGAGGTTAGTGGGAAAGAGCCCCCGGTTCAAATTGGATTGGAGGTTGGATGGGCCCGAGAGTTGGTCTGGACTACGTGGAGAAAATTCTTAACCATACCGGAACTCGAAATCAGACCCCTCAGTCCAACCCGCAGCCAGTCGCTACACCGACTACGCCATCCCAGCTCCCTACATGAAAGAATAGTAGTGAAATTAATCGTAAAGAATGTTTTGTGTATGTGGACTGGATAAAACTGGCTAAGTACAGAGACAAGTGGCAGGCTCTTGTGACTATGGCAGATTCTATAAACAGCAGGAAAACTCTTCACCAGCTGAGCGATTGTCAGCTTCTCAGAGAGACTGTTAGTTAATGAATTCTTAATGAACAGCACAATTCTAAAAGTTTTACTCAAATGCAGCAGTAGCTATATACATTATCTGCCTTTACATTACAAAACTCTGTATTTTTGCACACAGTATACTTATGGGTTTCACATAATTCTCAGAATAAACGATTTCTTCATTATAGAAAATTAAAAAATCAGTCCTAATTGAGACGCAATGAGTTTTCTTTGAGGTAGGAACTAAAGTTTGTAATTTTTATTTAGATGAAATACATGTTTCAAAGTTACATGTAGGTCAGTATGGTTTTTGAATTTTCACTCATTTACACGCATCTTGATGTGAATGCAAAGAAAATTTGCATCTTTACATAGATGTGTCTGTCTTGCATGCATATTAGCTTCAGCGCAACTGTGTCACATCTGTATGAAATGAATGATTGAAACACGGAGACACCTTAGCATCTGAATCTCCCCAGAATATATATTGACAATGCATGCACACTAGTGATCTGTACTCTACCCCAGCAGCCCCTGATGTCTGGGATATGAAGTAGACTGGAGTTCAAAGGTGATAACATGAAATAAGCAGCTGAACTACCATAATTTTAATCAGAGTGCACTGTTTTTCTACTTCCTAGCCTGTACACCTTTCAGACCCTAAATGTACAAATGTGCAGGTCAGAATATCAGTTCCTTATTAATTTAGTTTTCTCTTTGTCAGTTTTATCACTTGTTTGTTTGTTTCTTTAATCTCATATTTACATATTTACTTCTCAGATATTTAATTTATTTTCCTGTTTATTTATCTGATGCTGATTTATATAGTCAGTCTACTAACTATCTGTTTGCTTGCTTGGATCATAATATCCAAGCTTTTGAATTCTGTTCTGACTGAATGTACAGGTCTTCATCCAAGTTAGCCAGTTTTTAGCATTCATTTACACTACAATATGGAGACAAAGATGGGAGATGTTATAATCATCTCACCTATGACTGCTTGTCACACAGGAAATCATATTTCCAGTTACATGAGTCTGATGGGGTTAAAAAATTTAAAGTAAAGTGGTATTTCTGTTTTTGTGTAGTACAAAATTAACTCATGGGAGGTTGGTTGATTTCCATTACTTTCTATTTGCAATTTTGTATGGGTATGAAACTTGGTTAGATGAAGTCATGGGAGGTTGGAGAAAATTACATAATTATAAGCTTCATAACTTGTACTCTTCTCCAAGCATAATTAGAATGATCAAGTCAAGGAGGATGTGATGTGCAGAGCATGTAGCACTAATGGGTAGAAGAGAAATGCATATAGAATATTAGTGGGTAAGCCAGAAGGAAAGAGACCACTCGGAAGACCATGCCATTCATTGGTGGACAATATTAAAACGGATCTTAGAGAGATAAGATGGGATGGTATGGATTAGATTGATCTGGCTCAGGATAAGGACCAGTGGAGGGCTCCTGTGAACACGGTAATGAACCTTCGAGCTCCATAAAATGCTGGGAAATTCTTGAGTAGCTGCATATTTGGCTTCTCCTCAAGAATGGCTCAGCTCCATGAGTAAGTACTTTAGGCTAATAGGTGGACCATATCTTTGTTAATTTAGGTTGTAAAAGGGCAGGTTGCAAAATCTGACCAGACTGTAATGAGAACACTTTGTCAGGTAATGGTTATTTTAATGTTTCTTAATCCCAATATCGGTAACGGAATGTAAACAGGGATCAATATAAGTCAATGCTATTGGCTGGCAATGTAGTCATTTATCCACCAGAGCTGTGGAACTATTACAAAACAGGATCCACTGCCAAAAGTTCAATCATTAAAAAGGAAAACTACTATTCAACTAACAATTTAAGAATCCCTCCCACATATTCTTGAGACACCAATGAGCAATTTTACAATTCTGATCCTGTGAACAACATAGGAACTTCCTGTTTTTAAAAATGTGTGCAGGTGAAACTGTTCAAGCAGTACCACTTCACTCATATCCATCAGGAGACAGTTTCTCAGCAGTGTCTTTAAAAACTACACATTTAATCTAAGTCCCTTCATGAAAAGAACTAGACAATTTTAAACTATCATGTACAAAAAGCGGCCTCCGTAGTCTAGGGGTAACGTTCCCAATGTGGGTTCAAACCCGGTGGAGGTTGTGGAATTTTTAAGGGCAGAAAAATTCAGGGAACAAGTCCTCCGGGAGGGACTTTAAGCCGTGGTTCCCGTGTCGTAGATTTACGACACGTAAAAGATCCTCATATCTCTAGGAGACCTCTGAGCAAAATTAGGCAACACATTTCCTGCCCAAGTACGTGTAGTTTCCAATGCCTCTGGTAGAGGGGGGGAAATATCAGGTACTGAGGGCTGACCTCGTTGGCTGAACGGGGCTGATACCACACACCAGTACCGGTAGGGTATGGCGACAGTAGAAATTAAAGGGGGACGCACCATGGACCAATAACTGGTCTAAGTGCATGGGGAAACCCACCCCCTCTAATAATAACAATAACAACAACAACAACAACAACAACAATAATAATAATAATGTGCAAAAATGCTTAATATTCAGAAATATTAGGATTCTGAGGCTGGGTTAACTTGAATGAGAAATGTTCCCAATCACAGATACTTGTATTCAGCCTCGTAATACTGAACTTCCAAGGAATGGAGGGACTAGCGTACACAGTGAAAGGAACTTATTACAAAGCAGGCCCTTGAAATTTTTCCTACATGTACTGTCATTAGGAACTATGTAGACAGCATCTACACATCTAACTCGACATCCAGCCTTGCATATATAACACATGAAAAGACAATGTCAGTAAGCAAGAGACTGTAGTCCTTGAATCAGATATAGGTCCTATGTTTATAGCATCTCAAAGTAACGTGGGGATCTGAAGTAACTCCATAGTAACCTTAGAAAAAACATTCACTGAAACACAGTTTTATAATACAGAAAAGTGATATTGACTAGGCTGCAGTTTCTAAACAAAATACTGAAACACTTGTAAGTACACCATCTTTCACATGTTGGGGGTTATGTGATGAATAATAATGGGTTTTAGATGTGATCATTGGATTTATTGGCACTTCTTTACAATTACAACTGATTATGTAACAGCTCATACATTGAACTCCTTAACGAAGTCTGTCTTGTAAATCTCTCACGAATCTTGGGCTGATCTCTCCTACTCTCTTGAATTCACCAATCCACTGCCTTTTATAACTGCTAGACAGCCCATACAGAAGACACCATGTTGACCACTGAATTGTCCTCTGTTGTCCTGTTGGTTGTCATGGTAATCTCGATACCTGGTAACCACTCATTCACTGCCATGCGTTTTAATGGGAATGTGATTTCCGAGTTGTTACTCAGCAATGGACATCTGGCTCTGGCTCCACTGTTCTGGCTTTCAGCTGTCATGTCACAATATGAAATCAAAACATATAGCAGAGTTTACAGCATGACCATTATTAAAGTGGCCAGATTTCCCAGTCCCAAATTTGGGACACACAAATAAATGTTGGGGGGGGGTAAAAAAAAGGCCATTAAAATGTTTAATTTGCGAGGGTAAGTCAATAAGTAAGTCATAAAGGGATCTAGAACTTAAACAAATAAGAATACTGATTTGAAAAATGCTTTTATTTCTCAACGTAATCTCCCTGTACACTGAAGCACAAGCCCCTGAAAACCAGCAACATAAAATTCTTTGGGCTGCTGTCAGAACCAGGCGTGTTCGCACGGCATGGCCTACCTCATAATGCATGAGAGGTTAGGTTTTCACAAAGTCTGTGCATGATGGTGCCGCGCATGCTGACCCCAATCACAAAATGCAAAGAATGGGTCTGGCATCACAGCATCTCAACCGTTACCATGATGGACACGATATGCTAGCCCGAATTGTCACAGGTGATGAATCTTGGGTTCACCATTACCAGCCCGAGACAAAGCGTGCGTCAATGTAGTGAAAACATCCTGTGTCGCCTGCCAAAAAAGAGTTTAAGGTGACACCATCCTTCAGGAAAGTGATGCTCACAGTCTTCTGTGATCACAAAGGCATACTGCTCACCGCATTCCAGCCTCAAGGACAAACCGTAAATGCCAACTCCTACTGTAACATCCTCAAGAAACTTTGTAAGGCCATTCAACGGAAGCATGCAACCTGTCATGCATTATGAGGTAGGCCATGCCGTGTGAACACGCCTGGTTCTAACAGCTGCTGGTTTTCAGGGGCTTGTGAAATGATGGGACAAGTGCTTCAATGTACAGAGAGATTATGGTGAGAAATAAAAGCATTTTTCAAATCAGTACTCTTATTTGTTTAAGTTCTATATCCATTTGTAACTTACTTGCTGACTTACCTACATATATAGATATATAAAAAATAGTTTAACTACAGTGAAATCCTATTATATAGAGTAAAAGCACAAACTACTCTTGACATAAAACTGCTGTCATCCTTAATTTAAAAATGAGAAGCAAAGTTGCTATACTTTTCAGAGTTGTGAATTTTCTTAGGATCTTTCTTTGTCAGTAACATTTTGAAAAACTCAACACAAGTTCCATCACAGTTTACTTTGCCACTAACATTGCCTTAAGGGTGTGCACACCAAGCTCAGTTTGTCACTTGTCCATGTGCTATCCATGTGGAAAAATACCCTTTCAATGGCAGCATTGGTTCCAGGAAGGCAGCAAAGGAAGTCTGCTAACCTAAGTACATTTGAGAAAGGAACATGGATTTTGCTGAAGTGAGGGACCATTTTAACCCACTTTTGAGTTGGCGAAGTTTTGTTAGCAGTCCACTTCATCCCTGGTTACAAATGCTTCACACAGACACACTCATCATACATCCCATTTTCAGCTAACTGAACTGACAGTACAGTTTTAATCACAAGAGATGGAAGTTCTCTCAATGTGTGCCAATGAAGGTGTTCTGTTCAAGGTTACCCAGCTGTAAGATTCCAGGTCCTGAAAGCATTTTTCAGCCCGTTTCTTCAAGTAATTCAGAGCAGTTTCACAGAATGAGAATGCAGTGGCATGAAACTTTTGTATCTCTTCTTGAGATAGTTCTCCCTGTTTCCAGTTTTCCAAGCATTGTCCTTATGGATGACAGAAGGAAACAGTCAAGTTTGATCATCAAGGTAGTTCCCAACCCATTAATGCTATCACTTACTTCAAGTACAGTAACTTTCTGTCCCTCCACATTTTTCACTCCTTCATGGAATTGAGGAGGTTCATACAAGTTCAAAATAATGGTTACTCCTTTGGTATGTGCACATGAAAATTTGGGCTCTAATGTTATCTGGAGTAGCTTTGATGTACTATCCATGGACCTAAAATTATGACTGTGTGAAATGTGAGACACTTCAGTTGCGGCTAACAGCTTTCTTATTACCAATTTTCTCACGCCTAAAAAAGCTGTTAACGACGAGCTAAATGCAGCTGCACAAATTACTCTTTTGTCTTTATGGCTGTTTAAGGGAATTCTAATAATTCCACCACTGCTGATGGAAAATCTCGACGCACGAGTTGCACCTCACGTGAGAGCCTGAGACACCCGTCTTTATGACGAATGGAAACTGTTAATTAAAGATGCACTTAGGCTTCTTCTGACGCACTTATATGTTTAGTACAAAAAAAAATAGCGAACGAAAAGCAACCTGCAATAACCCGCCAATCTACACAGTCAACATAACCTTAAAACACAATAACATCGCGAAGGCAATTCACACAACTGCCGCGCGCGGTAAGCTTTGTCGCCAACATGTCACAGACGTCACAGAGACTGAGTATAACCAACTTAACTATCCGACCTCAAAATTCTCTAAATCGGGATAAAAGGTAACAGCTTGGCTGAATCCGGGGAAAACTGGGGTCCCGAATTGACTTCGAAAAAATCCAAGAGAAGGAGTGAAAATTCGGGAATTCGGGACTTCGGGACTGTCAGGGAAAAATCGGGGTGTCTGGTCAACTTGTTGCATTACTCTGTTACGGCACAACAAAATGCCTACATGTGCATCCGGCTTGAGGAACATCATGATGATTACGTTTTATAATAAATTTTGCATGAATGATCTGAATAGAGACGTGCACCACTTTATTACAATACTTTATTACCACTTTATTACAATACTTTACCACTTTATTACAATACTTTATTACCACTTTATTACAATACTTTATTACTGAGACATTTGCCGTACTAAATTAGTATGGGTTGGAATGAATATGCGTGAAGTTGGTAGTGACGTGCGGCTAGTGAAGTTTCCGTTAATGGAGGTTGTATTGCTTCAAATACAAATAAGATGCCTTTTATGAAGGGTAAAGCTCCTGTTCGGAGAACATTAAAGTATCTTGAAGCTGGAAGCCTTGTTTTAAAGGAAAGAATTAAAATATTCTGTGTTAATTATAATCACCACGGTAATCATCATAAAGGAGCAAGGTACATTTTATTCCAGATTAACTTTGACCAAGTGTGGTGTGGAATATGCAATAGTTTGTTTAGTTACAGATTTAGATTAGGGTTTCACCTGTATTGTTTTGAATCATTAACTACCCAGTTAATCATCCCAAGTGGATTTATGCTTAGAATCCATAATAGAATGATTTCATCGTACATGGTACTCTTTATTCCACACCTAATCGTTTCTGTACTTTACATTCATATAGAGAATTGTGGTTGTGATGGAAGACACTGTAAAGTATAAAATATAATAATAATTTTCGCCAGAAAAGGTCTGGTATATGAACAGGTTTTATAATGTCAGTGGACTATTGAAGGAAGTTTGAAGTTCAATGCGTTCACCAGTAATGGAGTTACTGTTCTTAACTGAGTAATAACATGGAGTTAAGAGTTTATTAGCTTAGAATGTGCCGCACTTCTAGTAGGTTAGGTTTGGGATAAAAGGTCGGTTATGTAACCATTAATAACTACCATGCCTGCTCATCTTGCAGTGCCTGTCCCACAGCAGAGAAGGCTTAACTGATTTTTCCATTTTTATGACTGAATTTCTTCAAGTATTGAAGATATTTTGAGCATGTTATCTGTTATTTGATGAACAGTTGAAGTAAGTGTAAAATTCAGGGACTCCAAAGGTGTCAGTAATTGATGAAACTGCAGTAGGTTTATTGTAAAATAAAGGGCACTAATGGCAGCCTAACACAGTGTACATACAAGTAATTGTGATACACTCTGATTTGTCAGTAAAGTAAAAAAGTAAAGGTATCCCTGCAACAGGCCGTGGAGGCCCATAGGGTTGTGAGATGTTGAGGTTCCCACATTTTCTAGACAGTCGGCTCATAGATGGTGGTAAGGTTGTCAGCCTTACGCGCCAGCTGCCTTTTACCCTCAAGAATATTCCTCGTACTCATTTCTGTTAGAGGCTGAGTCAACCCTCGGGTCATAGTGTGGCTGGAAGGATTAGGTAAATTGAAAAAAATCCATCTCATTGGAATTCGATCCCATGACCTTCCAGCTTGTATCATAGTGCCTCAACCAACTACACTACTGCGTTCCCCTCCTGATTTGTCAGTACCGTTAGTATTAGATTTATGGAACATCTTTATATACCAGTATACTTTGTGGAAGGTATAAGTAGCACATAAGAAGAGTAATTGTAAATTCGAGGGCTTTTCTCCAGGAAGGGGAATTTGTATGGTGTCAGAAACTGATATGATTGGCATCCCATAGTGCTGTATTAGTTTGCTGTATGTTTTGTATGAGACATAATATAGTGTGAAGGGGTGGGGTGACCATGGTGTAATATGTATCTCTCCATATAATGTGTTTAAGTTCATAAATATCTATCATCACTCAGATTTTAATATTTGCCCTGATGCTATAATGCGTCATGTTTTGTGGACTTTCATATGAGATTGAATTGTATGATAGCAGATTTTCACTGTCTTAATTTCTCTCTGGCTGGGTGCAAGCAGCATGTTTCTGTCTTTATACACTGCATATATACATGGGTACATATTGAGTGCAAACAGCAAAACTGAGACAATTATGGATGGGAGATGAAGAGGGATCATGGTGGAAACAGTTGTTTTCAGGTATTATCTGTATTTAACAAGGAAGACTGAGATGACATACAAAAAGTGGAGTTATATGAGATTGAGTTTTTGTGGCAGTGGAACTTAATGAGACTGCGACACCATATGTTGATGGTATGTAGTCTTGATACCGACAGCAGCATTAATAAGCAAGTAAAAGAGATACCACATAGTGTCATGGATGGTTACTGATGCCTACTGCCTCCATCTTTAGGTTAGAAATTGGGGTCTTCTGTCTTGAATATGGAGGCGCAGTGTTCTCCAAAACACTGATAATTACCAACAAGTTTGTATGATTAGATTCTAAAGGGTTCTGGCAATGGTGGATGACACGCAGAATTACTGGGGTTTGGGACTTTTTCCATCGTCCAGAATTCTAGCTAATAGGGGATACAACGTTTCAGAAACTGGGTCTGTTTCCATCACCTGAAGACAGAAATAGATCCAGTTTCCAAAACGTCATGCCCTCTATTACCTAGAATTCCGGACGATGGAAAAAGTCCAAAATCCCAGTAATTCTGTAAGTTTGTATGGTGATATAACAGAAGACCACAATCCAAGTAAAGTGAAATCAGTATGAAAGTATGTTAGATGCCACTCAAACAGGCAAAAGGATTTATATTAGGACCCTCTGCCAGAAAAACGAAGGACCTGTTGAAATTAAACAGAGATCTATTAAGATGGGTGGTAGGTTTACTTATTGGGCACTGCCATCTAAAAGGACACCTTTTCAAACTGAGACTGACAGATGACCCAACCTGTGAAAGGTGCGTACAAGAAGATGAATCAGCCACAAATATCCAATGTGATTGTGAGGCCGTAGCTTTCTTTTATTATTGCTAGTGGGGTGGGACAAAGTCCCTTGTGCTGTGGCCACTTCTGACCTATTGTACCAGCCCCAGATGATAGGTGAGATTACTAATGGGGTGGGACTAAGTCCCTTGTACTGCAGCCACTTCTGGCCTGTTCTACCAGCTCCAGATGATAGGTGAGGGCGATTGTGGAGCAATTGGTGGAATGAAGATTGGCAGGGGAAGCCGAAGTATTCGGAGGAAACCTGCCTCAGCGCCACTTTGTCCACCACAAATCCCACTTGACCAGACCCGGGATCGAACCCGGGCCGCCACGGTGGGAAGCCAGCTACTAACCGCTTGAGCTATGGCGTGGCCAGAGGCCATAGCTTAAGATTTCATCACCTGGGTCAGTTCTTTGTGGAACCAAGTGACTTTTATGATGCCCCCATAAATAAAGCCCTACATTTCATTCAAAATATAGGATTAATAAAGGGTTACTCCAAAGGGGAAGCACAATAGATCATTGAAGGT